AAAGTCTAACAACTAAGCATAACATCAATGCACAAATATTTTTCTGCTCGTTTTCTCTCTACAGTCTATTGCACAACAATAACTTTTTCATTGCTCTCTTAAAGATGACATTCCAACCACACAGAGTTATGCCTTTGTCATTGAAAAGTTACCCCCACCCCATATAGATTCTTGGACATTTTTTATTCTCACGCAGTGCCATCACGTAGTGCTAATAGCTTGGAAGATTTTCATTTCGGACATAATCACGTCAATAGTATTTGGACACCCAGAGTTTCCGAGCCTATTTGATGTCTTTAAAAACCAGCATGTGCTTAGACGTTTACCAATATATCAGAAATGTTAACTGAAATAGACTGCTGGCTACCTTTGCAATTTCCTAGTTTGATTTCAGCTTAGGGTGGGAGTGCTTTTCTGTGGATATCTGGATATACAGTACATGGGCTAAAATTTAATATGGCCATGAATATGAAGATTTTTATTTTTGTAAAATTGAACTTAATGTTTTAAAACTAAATTGTCTTGAAACTGGTCAGTAATGATCCAACCAATTAGAAGCACATAAGAGGCTGTGTAACATTGGTTGCCTCAAAACATGAATGTGAATGAGTGAATGAGGAGACCAAGCAAAGTTGCCCCAATATGACACCTTCTTATTGTGTACATATATATATATACAGTGTACACACACAAAAATACCTTTATATTAAATGAGGGCCAAAATTATCTTAACAAAAGCTTGCCTGAAAGGTATTCTGTTGCTAGGCTAACAACATATGATTTCCCTTCTCACATGAAGGTAAATTTTGTTGTTAGGTGAGTAATATACAGAAGGGACAAAAGAATGTAAAAAAATGTCTACAACAAGATAACATAATACTTTAAAAACAACAACTACAAAAAATTCACTATGGCCTAAATCTCAAGACGTCTGTATTTCCATCTTTTTTAGTTGTCGTTGGCATAGCAGGTGCAGCAATCCTGATAGCTGCCTCCATTATTGCTGGAATATGTATATTAAACAGGCGGTGAGTATTCCTTGCAGTAATATGCACTTAAATGCATCTTGTTTGCCAATATTTCAAAGATATTTATAATTTTAAAGACACGTTAAAATAAATTTCATCTTTCACTTTTTCTGAATCAGCTGTGCAAAGCATTAAAAAAGGCATGATTATGATTCTCATGAGAGTCAAATCTGACAGTCCATCATCTACAACAATTTCCATTGCAAATCTTCTGTTGTATAATCTCATTACAGTAAGTTACATTTTTCTGCCATTGTGGTTCACAAACTTTGAAATAAGTTGATGAAATGAAAGTGGACCTACATTTACAAAAAAAAAAAAGTCTGACAATGCAAGCACCAACATGGGCTGGGGGATGGGGGCACGAATACAACTCTCAAATATACAGTATTCTGGATAAATTCAGAATAATTTCATTCCTTATGTTCTATTGTAATGAGAGAATAACTTGCATTATAACAAATGATTTTTTTCATTTTTCTTTTTAGAAAGAAGAGATATGAAGAAGCCAGGTTGCAGTATCTTTCACGTGCAGCATCCCCCACATCAGTGGGAAGTCATACCTCGGGTTCTCCAGCATATAACGACAAGTTCTTCTTTGGTGGCATGGAGAAAGGCAAAACTGTCAAATTCAAAGGAGCCAAAGAAGATTCAAAAAGATCAAAGAAACATTCTCAAAAAAATGGAAAAGAATCGCCCACCAAAAATGGCCACCCACCTAATCAAGAAGAAATGACAGAACAGAAGCAAAATGGCAGTGCGGTTTATGTAACCAACATTGAAATAACACCAGATTAAATAACCAGTAAAACATAATATCAAGTACATAACTAATAAAAATTGTTAACCGGTTCTTCCATATATACGGATATACATTATTTATACATTCTTAACCAGCAGAAAAACTTCTGATGAAAAATGTATCACAGAAACTAAAAAATGACCATCATTTGATGAAGGTACTTAATATCACACAATGTATGTCATATTTTAATTGATTTGTGACAGTGATGCTAATAATGTAGAAAATGCATCTTCTGCTGATTGGCATTTCTATATCAAATATCAACCCTTTAAGAAAGGAGTTAATTAAAAGAGACACGGACATGGAAACAGTGCTGGTGCCATGACAGATTCAAGCCAAATGATTCATTTGCAAGATGTTCATTCACAGGAGGACAAGCAATGACATATTGAAATGAAGGCAATTGTTACAGGAGTGATGCCAACAGATGTGCTGAACTCACAAATGCTTTTTTCTTTTTTTTACAATTTACAATCATGGAGTATGAAACATTCCATAACATAGCTTTAATGATGTGCCTGAGGAGTACTAGTAATTATATGTTATACAAAAATATTTAATATTACTGTAGTAGCAGTGAATGTCAGATTTAAGCTGTTTTAGTGTAAATTTATTACCTTAACACAATTTTTTTTATCATTTTAACTGATTGTTTTAAGTAAAGGAAAACCACACATATTTAACAAATTATCTCAGATTTTATCCCAGAATATAAAATGTGCTTATAAAAATGCATTTTCTTTTTTAATTCAATAAAAATATATTAGAACTCATGTTTCAATAACATCGTTAAAGTGTGATGACCATCATATTAGGTGATTTTTATATCTTTTTGTAGAATTAATTTTCAATTACTCAACATTCTTACACACATATAACAAATCTTTCAGGTTTGGATAAACAACTTCAAAGTAATGCAAAGACTTGTCTCTTAACCTTCCCAAAGTTTACCCTGGTTGGCAAGTGTTCCTAACCAATACTTAACAGTTATTTCTCATTCTGAAAATTATAACCTAAATATCTTTATTCCATTTGCATTAAAATTTGATTGTTTTTGTATGAAAAATCCAGAGACTTTACTGTAAATAAAACATAAAAATGCAGAGATATAAGATAAACATTGTGCAGCTCTTGGGGTACCAGTAGTACAAACTTTGTTGAAAATAAATAGTGCTTGTCACGGTATATAAGGATGCCATTACAGGGTCTTTAAACTATTTACCACTGTGTGTGTGTGTGTGTGTGTGTGTGTGTATGTGTGTGTGTGTGTGTGTGTGTGTACCCAGTACGTGGAAGAGGTTGGGGCATAAAAAAAAAAAACACCCTCAAAAGCTGGGCTATTCCAACATTTACCTAAATTCAAAAGCAAGACAAAACAACTTAAAAGCTTTAAAATGGATACTGTATATATGTTTGAGAATTTGAAACTATCCCAAGAAAACTTTATTAGATGATGCTTTAAAAAAACTGCTGTAAACTTCAAGAAATTAATTACCCCTTTAAAAAAGTAAAGAATTTATATTTGAGGTTGCTGGCTTTCCCAATTCTACATGATCATTGAAGCAACAAGCATTATTGACAGGACAAAATCCTGGCTCTGATTAAGGTCTGTGACTAGGCAAACATGGCGGTGAACACGTTATAAAGTTGTCAAAGTATATCCCATTATTACAAACATCTGTTCTAAATATGTATAATTCAATAAAAATGCATAAAAAACACCATACTGGTCCCATGTTTCACACATTTTGTCACTTGGTACCAACATAACAAATTTCACTATAAAATAGGGCCAAGGCTGAAACATAAATTAAAAAAGACTGTTATCTGTTGTGTAACTTTAGAGTAATGAAAAATGACATGAAAAACAAAGGAAACAGATACTAGAATTGTATATTCACCCTAATAAATCTAAATTCAGAGACTTAATAACCCTACAGATGATGCATGTATTTGCACCATAAATAAATAAATAAATAAATAAATAAATAAATAAATAAATAAATGATTAAATAAATGATTAAATTAAAAAAAAACTGAAAATTAAATATCTAACCTTTGATGGTATTGCAAATATAGATTTAACTTCAAATTTAGCAACAAAGTGATTTCAATCCATTATCATGGTTATTTCTACTCTGGCAACTTGGGCAGAAAATACAAATGTTGTTTATACATCAAATCAGGGGTCCCCAAATTTCTCCTTTTGGTAATTTTATTATTTTATCACCGAAATTGACAATGAAACTTGTTTTTCATTTGAAATATAAAATTCCTATTACATATTTCAGTGACACACATTCATCAATATTCATGATTTGGGCAGTGACAGTGATGTCAGTAAAAAGGTTGTAAGCTTCATATTTTAAACACCATTCCAACAGGGACACAAATCTCATCTCACATCTCAATAAATAAAAATGCAAATGCCACCTTCCTTTCTCAGTAACATAAAGTTAAAATTGTCCAAATGTAATTCCTTGATATAATCAGATAAATTTAATCAGAAGAATATTACTCAAACAGATTTAAATTATCAATTACTATATTATATGTCTGATCTGTGCAGGTCTGTCCTAGAGATAACCAGATGGGAGCAAAGAATAACAAAACACACACTGTCTTTTCTTCAGTCAACTGCTTATTCATTCCACTGGTGACTGGAACAACATAGAGCTAATGTTTCTATGACATGAACGGGGAGGCAGGCAAATGCAGGTAGATTAGACCCGAGTGGCGGTGGTGGTGGTGGTAAGAAACCTCACCATACTAAAGAACTTTGAGGATTTCTGGAGACTGGAGCACCTTGGGAAATTATGCTATTGCTGTGGTTTATGGGGTTTTTCACATTTGTTGTTGTTCATGGTAAGTCAGAATGTTTTTTCTTTTTTAAGTTACATGTCTATAAGATAGATCATGAAAGGAGCTCAGTCAAAAAAACTATTCAAAAAGGAACTTTTTTGTTAGTACAAATGTGGCTCAAGGATTCTTGTATAAGTACAATTTTGTGTTACACAATGAGAAGTTTTCAAACATAAAAAGAGAAAATTTGAGCCAATTTTGTACCATTAACACATTAGAGAAAGACCACAGTCAAAGCGATTAGCCAACCTTGTTTCATGACCAAAGTCATTAACAAATAGCTTCTGCCATCTCAGCAAAGAATGCACTGTAAACATATAACTCAATATGAATAGCAGTATATTAGTATCATTTTGTGAAATGTATTTAATTCTTTTCAAAACTCTTACAGGGTACAGTTTTCTATGACAAGTTCCAGCACTCTCAACAACATGACCAAAAACACCGAAAACAGTTGAAATATATAATGAACACTGACTATCAAATAAGATGAATTATTACTGAAAAAAATGCATCTGAAAAAATCAGATTCTGTCTGTATGTTACTACAAACATCTACACGTACAAGATACCTACTTATCCAACACAGCATCACTCCTGTTCTACATATACATGTATAAGTTAGTCTACCTGTACAATGTTACTCAGACAAAGATTGTTATCTAATTTACACCAGGTAATTATGCTGAAATACAATATTGTCCTCTGCTCTAAAAGGGCATAATTATTCAGACCAAGTATCTGTTAAACTGCATACACAATAACACCCAAATAATAATTACTCATTACTTTATCAGTTATCTTTAAAGAGAAACGTATAATGCATTTTTAGATATGCCAGTGAGTGCAGTATAAACTAATAAAAAAATAGAGGAGCTTTATTGCCAAGTTCCACGCAAACAGCTAAGGGCTTTGCACTGGCATGATCCATTTCAAAAAAGGCCTTATGTACTGAAGCACCATCATCAATCTCCTTTAAATTTATCAAAAGGTATCCCAAAAAGAAAAAACAAAGTATTTAATTAGACGTTAACTTTTTTTCAAGGCCAACACCAGCATGCGTCTAACATCAAAGTGATAACCAGATCACGGTGTTTTGGCATTGTTCCACCCCACATGAAGCTGGAGTGCACGGATCCCAAACATTTCATGCGCGTCATCTCTGCCGTGTACGGTCTCAGCAGTGACACAGCATGCGGGGACCTGTGCTGTCCCCAAGTCAACGACTGCCAGGTAATTAAGGAATTGTAATATATCATTGCCTTTAAGACCTGTTAACTTAACAGTTAGAATAGCTTGAACTTGAACAAGACCGGAAAATGCAGTGCCTTTGGGAAATGGGATATGCACATATAGTACACGTATGTGACAACATTATATGTTATAAAACATAACATATCTATTCTAAAATAATATAGCATACATAATGCCTTATTTGTTGACATTTTCAGTTGTTATTTTGTCCCAATTTTGATCTAATTAAAATAAGTGGAAATCAATGTCTTTTTTTCTATTGCTTTAGTTGAATTTCTAAATGACATTAGATATGCAATATTTTGCATCTGAACTAACACAAAGAGTCAGCATGCTAATTAATTTTTTTAAGAATTAAAGCTTTGCAAAGGTGAAAATAAAACTGATTTTTTCTCCACAGGTCCCAGTAAATATGAGTCGTCCAGAGACCCATAACCAAATCTTTGGTCAGTGCTCTGGCCAACAAGAGTGCATAGTGTTGGTAGAGCAAGCGTCTCTGTGGTCAGCTCCCTGTGGCAGGGGAAAGTACAGTAACTACTTACAAGTCAAATATGAGTGTGTGAAAGGTATGTAAAACTTCATGTATCTGATCCCATCTTGAAAAAAATAAAATCAAAATGATTTCATAAAGTGAACATTTCTCACTGCATTTTCACAATCAATAATCATATTAAGTAAAAGTTGTTAATCTTAGCCATATCTCCTTGCTGAAACAGTAGTCAAACTTGTCATATTCCACTACTTTTCTACAACAGCTGAAATAACAACCCAATCCAATTGCTATGGAGAACCATCTGGCACGATGCATCTTTATTGTGAGAAGGGGACTTTTATCAACATCAAAGATGCCGTCTATGGCCGTAGCAATCGCACACCCTGCGCAAGGCGTTGCTGTCCTGCCGAGACTGACTGTGTAGAGAAGCTTCTGGAAAAGACCCCTCCTCTTTATACGGCCATCTTGGGTCAATGTCTGGGCAGGGCAGAGTGCACCATTCCAGTGGACAAGATTTCTGGGATGTGTGGAAATCAGTTTCATGTCAGCACCTATGTAAATGTGACTTATGAGTGTGTACCAGGTAATAATAATCAAATTTATCTGTTGGTCATTGCCAAGAATACCAATTTATACACTCAGTCTAGCTCTTTTGCAGATACTAAAACAATATCCATGGTAAATTGTACCTTAATTGTTAAGTTTTCAAGCATTATGACTTTTTTACAGTATATTTCTATCCTAATTTCCATCTCGGGTCCAAATTACACAAAGAGGGACTTTCCCTTCCTCTCATATTCCCAAATAGCTATATGCTACAAACTTCAACAATTCTGTTAACATTTTCCTATTGTCAACCAATGGTCAAGAACCCATCATTCATTTTTTCTAGTTAGCATTGTCAATGAAGTATGCATGGAGGGGAACAATGCCATTGATGTGGGCTACATCCAAAGTGAGGGCTACCCTGCAGAGGTGCCAGGAAACAACCTACGTTCCTGTGAGTGCCGACTCGCCACAGCCAAGAACAGTTCAATCACCATACGTGCTGTTGACATCAATATGTACAGTGGACCAGGCTGCAGAGAGCATCAAGAGTTAGCCATGTTTACGAAAACTGACCAAGCAGCCTACAGCTGTCAACACATCACAGATACCATACTGTACAATGGGCCAGCAAATGAACTGAATATGAAATTTGTGAACACCTTGTTTAGCAATGAAGGGAAATTTTGGCTAGAATACAGTGGTAAGAAAAATAAATGGATATTTTATTGGATAAATTCTGTGGAAAATGCAAAAAAATATTCTTCACAGGACTAGCAAATGAATTGAATATAAAATTTGTGAACACCTTGTTTAGCAATGAAGGGAAATTTTGGCTAGAATACAGTGGTAAGATAAATAGATATTTTATTGGATTAATTCTGTGGAAAATGCTTAAAATTTTTTCACAGGGTGCCTTGAATGTCATTTTCAATTTCTACACTTTGTTTTGTAAGCTGCTATCTACCGGTAGATGTGTCGACCAAAGATGCAATCTTTAAACATAGTGACATTGGTGATTCTGAGGTAACAAGACTCCTCATTGGTTAAATTTTCAGCATCCTGGGGGACTGTGACAGTCAACTGCACCTCTGCAATCTCCATTACCACCACAACCACCCTCACCCCACCAGTGACACAGCCTATGGTGAAAGTTGACCCTGGCTCCAGCATCAGATCTATCCTTATAGTACCGGATCCCAACACAAAAGGTGGCGACACTGGTGACCAAAGCCAGGAAGAACCCTGGAGGTACCAATCTCGCTGTTTTGGAAAGAGTCCACCGCACATGGAACTCACATGTTCAGAACCAAAAACTTTTATTAAGATTCAAGCTGCAGTGTATGGACTGAACACAAATGACCGATGCAATGACATCTGTTGCCCCAGCAATAATGACTGCCAAGTCCATGTGAATGCTAGCCGTCCCGAGTCCTATAAACAGATAGTTGACCAGTGTTCTGGTCAGACGCACTGTATTGTATTGGTAGAGCAAGGGGAACTATGGACTGCAGAGTGTGGCAGAGGGAAATACAGCAATTATCTTATGGTTGCTTACCAATGTGTCAAAGGTTCTGTGAAGAATATAACTTTAAACAAAGAACTGTACACGATTTTAAATAAGTAGGAAAATATGGGATAATCTGGCACAAGAAGTAAATTAATAGTTCTATTACACTAATAGATTTCTTATTTAAAATCATTGCAAATGTTAACAATCGCAAAAAAATCTCATTAACTAAAATGTTATAAACCCTCACTTCTTTAACTTTAATTAACTTCTTACAGCCAAGGTCACAACCATCTCTAAGTGCTATGGTGAGTATCCTCCAGAGATGAACCTGTTCTGCGACATTGGTACCTACATCCATATTAGAGATGCCATATTTGGAAGAAGCGACTACAAACCGTGCCCTCGCCGCTGTTGTCCTCGAGAGGATGACTGTGCAGAGAAAGTGCGCACCAGAAATCCTGGCCTGTATACTGCCATACTGGGTCAGTGTTTGGGTAGAACACAGTGTAGTATACCTGTGGAACGGCTGCACGGGACCTGTGGAAGCGAGTTCTACAACAGTAACTACATGAACATCACCTACCAGTGTGTCCCAGGTAAGTCATGACCATATTGGTACCAACTGAAACTATGAAAAGGCTTAACTATGCCATTCAGTACAATATTAATAAAATTAATGTCACTGCTTGAAATTTAGTGTGGTCATCTAGATTATAGGTTTTTTTTAAAAGATAACCACTGCATTATCCATAATTAAAAGAAAAACAATTGCAAATTTCGTGTATAAATAAGTTCTTTTACATGACCCTGCACAACTAAATAGCAGCCTCAGGTTTTGTGAAGTTAATCTATCAAATGATTTTTCAATATTCAGCCAAAAATAATACATCCCCCACATTAGAACTTCTTTCTATTTCCAATTTCCCATTAAAACAATTTCTCTCAACTTGATACCTTTTTCGAGTTAATCTTAATAAAAAAAGAAAAAAAATTCACACATCCTCAATCATTCATTTGGTTTTCTTTATAATCTAGTGAGTATTGTTAACGACTTCTGCACCAAAGAAGACAACATGCTAGATCAAGGCTACATCATGAGTGAGAAGTACCCTACAAAGATCCCAGGGAATAACCTCCGCCAATGTAAATGTGTTCTCACTGCCCCACCTGCTGCCACCATAGCTGTCCGCGCCATTGACTTTAGTCCTTACAATGGCACGCGGTGTCAAGACCTGCAAACGCTGACATTTGAAGAGCAAAGAAAGCCCTCTAGCAGCTTCTCATGTGAACACAGAGTAGATTTCTGGATGTACAACTCTACACGCAATCAAGTCAATGTGACTTTCCTGAACACTTTACTTGGAAATGTCGGTCAATTCTGGTTAGAGTACACAGGTAAGGGAAAATACAAATGCACCGAAATAATATAAAACCTCATATTAGGTAACTACCTTTTGAATGCTTAAAGTCACATAGGTTTTCTGACTTTAAAAAAATTGAAATCAAAACATGCATGTGTACATACACGCACATTCACACAAAGGTACACATAAATTAAGGCACAGTCTACACATGAAAATAATAATACGTTTGACAAATGATCATTTTGTGTTGCTAACACTTCCAGCCTCTTCTGGAAATGTCACACTGAACTGCACTGAACCAGTGGGAGTCACCACCCCAAAACCTGGAGCAACAACCATACCTACTACACAAAAGGTCACACAGCCCTACAGATATAGAAATCCAGATGAAAACAATACCCCACGCCCAACAGACACAGCTTCTGACACCAGCCGTAGACGACAATATGGAGGGGGCGATACTACAGGACAAGATGACTTTTTGACTTCCTACAAGGTTCTGGCAACCAACCCAAATTACCAGCTTCAGGGAAGATGCTTTGGAAAAATTCCTCCACACATGGAACTGAGCTGCCCAGAGCCAAAGACTTTCATCAGGATTATCAGTGCATTTTATGGGAGAAGTTACGGGAGCAGCTGTGGTGATATCTGTTGTCCAAAAGAATCGGACTGTCAAGTTCATGTGGAAAAGAGCCGACCAGAATCCTATGAGCAGTTGGTTGAGCAGTGCTCAGGTCAGAGTCACTGTGTTGTGTTGGTTGAGCAGGGACCAATGTGGGGAGTCAAGTGTGCATTTGGTGGAGGCTACAGCAATTATATGCATGTGGTCTATGAATGTGTCAAAGGTATGTATTACAAATTAATTTTCTTCATCAGGAAACCAAACAAATATGCCATATTATACTCTGCTAAACAATACATCTCATTTTTTTTCTTTGTGACTGACGCATATATTAGCTTAAATTTAAAGTGTGATCAGAGCATGAAAATATTCAGGGTTTATACAAAGCCTGGCAGTTCGATTTCATTATAACTTTTTATCAGAAATAATATCAACAGGTATTTTTATTGTGAAAATTAATCATGCTGCCTTGAGACAATACATTAACCAATATGCAAGAACAAGACTTCTAATACTTCTATTGGTCTTCATTCAATTCAGTTTTAAAGACAACTGTGTCCATGTGCCATGGTGTGCTGCCAGGCCACATCACCCTTTTCTGTGACGTCGGCACTCACATAAGGATCCACGACGCCATCTATGGTCGTGCCCCTGATCTCTCCTGCCCCCAGAGGTGCTGCCCCAGGGATACAGACTGCACTGTCCCCCTGGCTGTCAGGACCCCAGGGGTGTACAGAAACATGGTTGGGGATTGTCTCGGGAACAGGGAGTGTAATGTGCCTGTGAACAGGGTCCAGGGCATGTGCGGAAGTCAATTTTTGTCCAGCAACTATGTCAACATCACCTATGAATGTATACCAGGTCAGTAGAAATTCCTGGATGAAATGTGTGCCTTGTATCTTTTTTTCTTCTGTTAGGAGATTGTTTAATTAATGTTGATAATATGAAATAATAATTCATCATTTTAGTAATTGCTCCTTTTGTCCATCATAACATGCAATAAATAATTCATCATTTAATAAATGCTCCCATCCTCCTCCTCTTCCTTCTCCTCCTCCTCCTCCTCATCATCATTATTATATTTAGATTTGGTAGAAAAGAAACATAAAAATATTTATAATCTAATCAATGCCTGATGCCATCACTACACAATCTTATATTTCTGTATTGTTATACTTGCAGTGAGTATTACAAATACTATGTGTGAGGAGGGAGACCGTATATTAGACGATGGCCACATTCTCAGTGAAAACTACCCACGGTCTGTACTAGGCAACGACTTTCGCAAATGCACATGTGCAATTACCGCAGAGCCCAACAATGGCGTCAGCATATCGGCTATTGAGCTCCACATGTACGACGAGTTAGGGTGTGAGCATCAGCAGCAACTCATAGTAAACAGCCACAGCAGGTCCACCAGTGTTCATTCTTGTGACAAAAGAAGTAATGTCATGATGTATGAAGTTGCTGGTGGACAGGTCAACATCACTTTTGTCAATACTGTTCAGAAGGATGCAGGGAGATTCTGGCTTCATTATAAAGGTGAGAAAATTACAGATTGCTTTTATCATAGAAATGTAATTGTCCATTCATAGATTTTAGCTTCATTATAATGGTAAGGAAATTACCAAATGCTTTTATCATAAAAATATATTGTCCAATTTTCGTTTGTTCCATCTAAAATTTTTTCTATGCTCATAATAAACTATATATTTAATGTAATATATGAAATCCTTGTGCGCAATGACCAAATATAAAAAGATATGTTAACATGTAATCCAAAAAAAAAAAAAAATGGTGCATGGTAAAGAACATCCTGGTTAATATTTATATTATTATTTTATATTTACAGCCAGGAATGGTCCTGTGACAGTGAACTGTACTTCAAGCATCCCAGTAACAACAACTACAACTTCAGCCACAACACCAACTACAACTACAATTCCAACTACCACTACTACTACTACTACAACTCCTGCCACCACAACAACTACAACTCGTACTACAACAGTCAAACTTACTACAACTCCTCCTCCTACTACCACTACTACTACTACTACTACAACTTCTACCACAACCAGAAGAAGTACCACAATGCGCACCACTACCACCACTTCATCCACAACACTAACTACACCTAGCACCACCACCACATTTAGAACTTTTGATGCTTCTTCTACATCCTATCCTGTCTCTCCTTCCCAAAGATCAAACGTGTACAAATCTGACGACATGCTAACACCAAGAACAACAACAGATGTGCAACCAACAAACACAGTAGAAATTGGCATCATACTAAATGAAATAAATGAAGCGGTTTCCATCAACATATCAGAACACTCTACAACAACTCAAGCTACATTCATTGAAGATCCTAATATTAATATGGGTATGTTTTCAAATTCATCAGTTAACATATTACTATATTAAACATTCTACAGAAAAATAGGACCATAGCGCAGTTAACTGTTCATTTTTCAATTGCAATTATCAATAATTTCTTTTACAAATCTCTTTGATTCAATGTGTGACAATGCATGTGTAATCTATATTATGACCAGTATCTAAAATGCTAAGTATTCTATACAGCCAGGATTAAGCTTTTGTTCTTGTAAGTAATAAATATAATCATCAGTACTTCTACTTCAACCTAAATTGGAATTTAAACATTCATTTCAGGTATTGTATTAGGTGGTCTGGCAGTCTTGGTGTTGATTGTGGGGATCATAGTGGCAATTTGCCTTAAAGCAAAGTGAGTAAATTTCTCTAAGAATAAATCCAAGTAATTATTTTTACCTTCAAGTTGACAAATTCAATAATTTAATCAGAATTTTTGTAGTGTTTTTAATGTTTTGTGGCACCAAATTTCAGGAGATAACACATTTTTAATCTTTTAATCATCATCTTTTTGTGTTATTTGAAATTTAAAATAAATTTTTACAGTCAATTCAGTAAGGGCCCATATTTTAATAAGTCAGGGATTAGTTTCTCAAAAACTGTCACATTAACTTGGACTGTCTCTCATTTTGTGAAAAGTCTTTTTTAGGTCATTTTTTATTAATCAATGACAGAAGGCAGCTAGGCTCAGATGTAATGTAAACATTAATAGCAAGGTGGTAGAATAAAGTATATTTCTTCTTCTTATAAAGAAACCACAGAGAGCAGAGAGATCGCCACCGCAGTCTCCGTGCCTCAGCTCAGAGAGGCCAGCGCGACAGCGTTTCAAGTACCTACAGCAACAGTAACAAAGTCAACTACTCCAACCCAATTCAACACCATGGCAGTAATACCATGCCACTGCCTGGAAAATCACACCATCTACAGGAAAAACCTATGGGCAGATACAAGTACAACCAGGGAAGGAATGGAGGGCCCCCTAGCAGAACACAAAGCAGTAATTCAATGAACAGGCCAAGATCTATTAACAGCAGTCAAAACATCAGGGGATATAAAAACCCTGCCTTTAGATAGTGATAAGGATGTTTCCTGCTTCATTCAGAACATTACGCCTGAAAAATTATGAGGACTTGCTTATCAATGAGAAAAAAAAAAATTTTTGTACTTAGAAGGTTGTACAGTGTGTGTTATGTTTTCTTAATATGGTGTTATGCCTTTTTGACAAAGGTAAAAAAGTATTCTATTCAATAAATGCATTTTAAAGTATAACATCAAAGGTTTGTATTATTTATATCGAATAAAAATACTTGGTTTCACCATTTTTACTATGTAAATATGATATATATCACTGCTGGGATTCTTTCGCACACAAATGCACACACAAAAAAGGGAAAGGATGGAAATTTTAGTTTGCTTTGACACTTTAAACCTGTAACAGTCTACTTAAATGAGGATATAGAGCTTAGTTCTTTCACAATAAGTGGAAAAATGGATTAATTCAGATATATATACTTGTTTGATCTTGATATTCTATAGATTTAACATAGCTGGGTCAAATTAAATATAATCCATTTTTTACAGACCATCCATTAATTTGAAAAACAAACACCTAAAAATATTACAAATGGCACCTGTGTATTTTGGAAGGATGTCAGATGCTGCTTGTATTCAGTATCTAACAATTTCATATAAACTTTCTGCAACTTACCATCTTTCTGTTACAGCCACAGTATCCCAGTAATTTGATTGCATAATACATACAAAATATGTAAAAAACTACACAGCTCCATGTTTGAATTCTATTATTTACAGCTCATAATTATGTAAAAATTTTAAAGAAACAATTCCACTTATTACCATATTCAAGCATCTTTTAAAGAAAAGCAATTTTCAAAAAATTTAATCGAATGTGAAAAAATTTCAAGTGTGAAGAGTTCATATTTTACAAATCATTTTTTCTTTCCGTGCTTCTTATTTTCACCAAACTCACGACTGATCCAATTTAAAAACAATATCATCAGAAACATCTTGAATCTACGAACAAGTTGTGTGTGATTAAAATAAAAAGAAAACTTTTTGTGAGTAGATTATCCAAATGCATTGCAACAGCTTTTATAAATGAAATGAAAAACATTATACAACATCATTAATGATTATGTATTGAATACTGGTTCAGAGGTTGAACATTCTGTGACATATGCACATACATATGCTTAAGTACAGGCAGAAAAATCTTCTCCATAAAAATTGTTCTTCAGTCAAATCCCCAGGTTTACAATCATAATCAGGTTCAAATACCAGTAGATGGCAGCACAGTGGAAAACTTCTGTAGTTCACAATTGATTTTTAGAACAATGGAAGAACAGCACAGTGTGTGCAGAAACGAGGCCTGGTATTTACGGTTGATTAGTTACACAGAGTGCTCTCAAGGACCTCTCATTATGAACCACAGTCACGTGATCAAAATCAATATTTTGTTTTGTTTGACTTGTACAGTCACATTGAACAGGTACCTGTACCAGGGCTGGCCACCATTTTATGGCTGCCGTTAGTATAGACAGAGGATAAATTTAGGTTTCAAGGGTGATTTATTTCTGCATTTAACATGAGTAACCACTCATTGTGTATTTTACACGCTGTTCTGATGTTGGTGACTGTCATTGCCATCAGCGGGAGAGGAGTACAAGGTAAGTGTCAGGAAAATTCCACACAACAAATTAAATTTCACTTCAGAAACACTGCTTTACTTTCTTAACTGTTACATATTACTTTAAGCCATTTTAAAGTGAATGATCAACATGATGTGTTGGTCTAATTGCAGTGGTGGCAGACATTAATTTCATTTTTAATTTAGAGGGTTTTTAATTAGAGTTCCTGTACAGCCTGTAATCACTGTTGCAACTGACTTGGTTGGTCATAACTTTTATTGCTTTGTATAAGGAAAGCACAAAATGTCACTATTATTTTATTGTAGGAATAACTATTTAAAATGAGGAAATATATTTAACTAAAATGCAGAATTTAGCGGTAATGTAAATATTATGTATATTCTTACAGCTAGAAAACTGAGAGTAAATTGGGCTTTAAATTTACAAATAACTTAATGATTTTAAATCCTTTCATTTTTGAAACACCTGCTTGGAATTTGACTTTTTTACTTGCTTAGAGAAAAATGTGAATTTTACCTGTGTTTCAAGACCTATAAAAATGATTGTCAGATATTAAGCAAGTTTTACTTTTACAACACCTATTCCTGTAATGTTCTGGTGAGATGAATACAAAATCAAGTCACTTATATACATTTTCACAGTTAAGCTAATCTAGATAAACCTGTTTTTCATAGGTATAAACCAGCTTAAATCAGTAGCCGAAACATGTCTCACTGGAAATACAGTCCGCCTCCACTGCGAGGAAGACACATGGATCCACATTCACTCTGTAAGACTACTCAATCAGGCAGACAATATCACCACAGCGCTGTGTGATTCCTCTCAATGTGACCGTCCTCACATCATGTCCGACATGGTGTCCATCTGCACTGGACTGACCAACTGTACCTTTCAGCTGACCAACAAGAGTTGTGGGTATAACATCAACCAGACCACTCCTCAAACCTCACTCACAGCAAACTATGAATGCATACCTGGTAAGAAGTCTTTCATATGCCCATGTTTTCCTTTAATTAAAAAGGGGCATGTGATAAAATAACATTATTTTTGTTAAACTTAATAAAAAGATAATAGTCAGGACATTGCTCTCCATTCCCATTTTTCATATACTTTTGCTTGAACAAAATAAATAAATACAATGAAAGCAAGAAATTAATATACATTTTTTTGTTCCTTAATGCAAGTCCTCAGAATATTGTATGGCAATTTTCACCTTAACGTCATTCATCTAACACAATGCTATCATCTACTGTTACTCATATTTTACTGCTTTCAGCCAAAACTGCCAGCTTATTTTGTTCACCAACAGCTCCAACAGATTACATGTTCAGTGAACAATTCCCCATTAGTAACAACAACAGCAACTGTCAGTGTCATCTGACATCCACAGCAAGTGTCAACATCACTGTTTTGCTAAGTCATTGCCAAGGCCTCGTTCAGCTCTACTCAGGGAATGCCACCTATGACATATGCAGTGCGTCTCCAGCGTGGAATATTCCTTTTGGAAACAGAACTTTCCAAAGTTCTTCTAACGCCATTTCTAACCCATATGGTAGACTCTGGATAAAAATCCAAGGTAAATGACTAATTACTTTATTTCTAAAATACACAAAATTTTGAATTCAGTATACCCACAAATGAATGTGTTGTGTAATAACATATGCCAAAACTGTTATATGAAAACTGTTTGTGTGCTCACACACACAAAAAAATTATTTACAATTCTCATGAAATCAATTTTACTACTGTTTTAATACCACGTTCAAATATCTTATCTATTTATATACCATTATAAATATGCCACAAAATGAGCATTTCTTCTTTCTAGATCCATCTTCAATAAACCTGACATGTTCCCATAAAACCACTACATCAATGACAGAGTCTAGCACAATTGCTCCCAGCAGCACAACTACTGCAATCAAGGTTGTTCCATACCAACCTGAACACAAATTAACACCAAAAGAAGTGGCCTTCAAAAATGCAGGTATGGCAATGGCTATGATAAGTACTTAATTTTGCAGTTTTGTTAACAATAACTTATCTTTGTATCTGCATCTTTGTACCTGAATTATCCTCTGAATCCAGTCATTGCAAAAGAGATGTGGCATTTAAATTAAAGCAGAATTTATGAAATTTGTAGCCAGCAAACGATTTTTCTTATTTCACTCCTGTATTTATATATGACTGATTTAGCTTGTATATTTTAGTAAGAATAAAACAAAATGACATCTGAAAACATCTTAACAACATGGACTCACTTTTCAAGTTGACTCTAAATATGGTTTTTCTGTTTTTTTCAGGCTGGCTGATTGGCATTGCATTTGCCAGTGCAGTTGTGATATTTTTCCTTGCTATTACTCTTATCTACTTTAGGAGAAGGTAATTTACAAGCATATTTCTAATATTTTCCATATACAGCAGTAAAATAAACACACACACACACAAAACCATATGTGATGGATGAGCCATGCAAACATTCATTACAAGAACTGCAAAAAAAATTAGTAATAGGATTATAGGAAACATGCTTTGTAGCTAAAGATTATAACCTAATTTTTTTTCTTGGGGGGGGGGTATTTGTTATAAAAGAATAGACATTGATAAGAATATGATAAATGTAACAGTGTAACAGATATAGACACCTGTTCTAAAAAGCCCTTATTTTTCAGACATATTGAAAAAAGACAAACTCGTAGGCAGCAGCAGTTGAGCCAGAGGTTTGAGAAATTCGACAATATCCCAGACACAAATGATGACCAAGACATGAGTCCCAGTGGGAATACAGACAGCAGGTCCATGCCAATCAAACTGACTGGACAAAGAAGAAAATACCAAGCAGATGACGAAACCCTGCAACTGAAACCCCAAAGGGGCAACCAGTATGAGAGTGTTGCTCTTCATGCTTTTAACAACCAGGCATTTCTCGAGGATCTTGAGATGCCAAACGTACAAATCCAGCCCAGACGAGTGTCCGTTTCAGATGTGCCACAATCCTCTACACCTCCTGCTATGAAAGTTCACTTTGAGGATACCATATTTGAGAAGGGGGAATGGAGAAGAAGTGAAGGAGCTTTCCAAAACAAAAGACCATCAGTGAAAAAATCAAACAGTCCCAAATCAGACTTTGACTGGCTTAATCCTAACTCAGACTAAATCACATTTTCTGACAGACTTTTGAATATAACTGTCCAAGAACAATCTCATCAAGTGCCAATCAAGTATTTATATACAATTTCAAAACTTAGCACATGTAGCACAGATAGCAAAATATTTGTAAATAACTCTTACTTTCATGCAAAATGGCATCTACCTGAAACAGTATTAACTGCTGAGCTCTAATGTATATTGGGCTAAAAAAAGAGTGCAATCATAAGCTGTGATATAGACTTGCACATTCCAAAATTGTTGAGAAAAAGGAATACGATATTGAAAAACAGATGGTACATGTAACTGCTTACCAATAAGTTATAAAAAACTTCATAATTTCAAATATGCAACACATACTTTTAACCCCAATTTGAGTATAATAATTTTAACTGTTACAATATATTCCTTTACACACATTATCCTCACATTAATATAATACACTTTTTGTCGAAGCAGTTTGTAAATAATCGAGTCATGCACAGGCAATTTTAGTGCAGGTGGCAGTTGGTTTCTCAATTTTTCTTACAAAGAAAATTATAAATGAAATAATATAAAAAATCACATGTAAGCACACCCCACATGTAGCTGTGATCAGTTTGAAGTGCACTGAAGTGTGGTTTGTAACCTGCCTATTTGCAACTGTGAAATTTTCCTATTTTTTTGTAAAAAAAATAAATAAAATAATGTTTACTTCAACAGCTGTGTCATTTTAAACTCAACATGTTCCCGTAAACAATTAATTTTCAACCCCGAGCCACTCCATGGCTTCATCCTTCGAAGTGTGTCACCTGGTTAAAGTTAAAAGTGGCTGGCAATTATCAACATCTGTGACTTGCGACATATGTAACATGTGACACACCCTAGAAAGACCAGTCTGAATATAGAAGAAGACACAAATCCTTCTATTCTTGTATTGGTTACCTGAAAAACGAGTATCTCTGTCAATGCAAACAATATTTTTACTTGGTTTATGCATGCGATTCCACTGATCTTATCTGCATTGTTTGATGTAAAGATGAAGATGGACATCAGAGTCTCAACTGTGCTGCTTTTCTATTTTTTGCCGCCAATAATGGGGTTTGCACTGGGTAAGTACCATCTACACCTTGTAAATTTGTATATATGCACATTGAGTGTCAAATATATTTTCCATCAATGCAACCAAATTTTACATGACAATTCATGACTTATTATAAATAAAAAATTGATGAATACTCTTGAGAATATAAACCAAAAAAATCTTTTATCTTGAATATCTCACAGGAAATATAAGACACAGAAATAAGACTAACTTCATGAAAAGAAAAAAAACATTGAAAAGAATGCCTATAACATTCCTTTTTTCACTTCTTCTTTTATCTTTTTTAAGAGCTAAAGCGAGCCAGCCAGTGCTTCAAAGTGGGCAAACCCCAGGTGACCATGTCGTGCGCCGAGCCAGGAGGGCCAGGGATGATCCTGATGAGGAGAGCATTCCACGGACAAACTACCCCAAGAAAATGGCCAAACCACAACTTTGACAAATGTCACAGGGCTGGCAGCGATGACATCAAGTGTACCTACTGCCCAGATGACTGCACGGATGAGTCCAAAGACATCATGGTGGCGTACGACTGGACCAAGTGCACGGGGATGGTTAACTGCACCACCTATGTGATGCAGGCGTCAATGCCTAACTGTCAAAATACATACAGCGACTATCTCCATTTGGAGTACATGTGCATACCAAGTGAGTGCAACACAGAAATTGTTTTACTTCCTCTAATGGCACTAATTTTTAAATGTGTACTCCTTATAGAAATCTTTGTATAAAAGTCAGTACTAATCTACACTAAAAACTAAAAAAATTGAGAACTAAAACAGGAAACTGAAAAAAAAAAAAAGAAAAATAGAAGATATGAATAAAAAAAAAAAAATCATAACAGTTGTAATATATGTTTAAAAGGACACCGAATAAAAATTTCCAAAAGTCCCAAGACAAAAAGTAAAATCCTTGTTTTTTCTTTTCAGGGACATCAGTGTTCGACATATGTGCAAACGATGAAAAATGGGTAACAGAAGGGTACATTCGCACCCCAAACTATCCCAACCACTATGGGCCATCACATGCATGCAAATGCACCCTAGAGGCAACATGGGGGGACAGCGGGGTGGAACTGGAAATATACGAACTCCTACTGGAGAGAGATGCAGATGGAGAGTGCACAGACTGGATGATGGTCAAGAATGGCGATGAGAAAGAGAGAAAATGTGGCCAGATTTTTAATACAACAATCAGAGTTCCCAGTCGTATGGCAGAGATTTATTTCTACTCTGACTCCAACGATGTCAGCACTCAAGTATTCCAATACTTCACCAGAACACTGAAAGGATTCTGGCTCCATTTCAGATGTGCGGAAAGTTGTAATCCAGAATCATAGGACTTTAGCAGATTGTTAGATAAATGAATAGAATAAATGGGCAATTTTTCCCCTTTTTCATCAGAATTCATTCCAAAAAAGCAAGTCTATGCCTATCAGAATCACTGTTTTAAAAATGCCAGCAAGTATGCCATAGTGCAATCATTTCAACTATGTGTGATTAAGTTTGAATTAAACACATCTAAACCAACATATCCTTTTTTCTTTAAAAAACACACATTAAAAGTTGCACCAATATCTGCAGCAGTCATTATAATCCTGCAATACTCTTTATTCCAGTTGTGGGGTCTAACATCAAAGTCAGCTGTGGTCAACTCAAGACAAATGACCCTACACTGATGGAGATGACCATCCCTCCAATGACATCAGAGAGCCCGGGTAACAGCACACAGGCTGATGAAAAAGTCGCAAAAAATAGACAAGACAGAAACAATAACACTGCGTATGGTTCAGAAAAACCTGGACACAAAGACAACCAAGAAAAGAAATCAGTTCCTAAGAGTGAAGAAAATGAAGGTAAGGTAGAAGTATATATATATATATATGACATAATTCCAATTTTTAAGTGCTGCAAATGTTAATCTATTGTTTACCAAATTTACATAATCTTAGTTCATAAAGCTTAGTGTTGTTAAAATCTAAATAAATGGCATTTACTGTTTTTTTTCTCGTTGCCTGTTTAAACTAACTTTAAAATGTTTATCGTTCATGTTAATGAATATTTCTATAATATTCTTACTACTATCTGTTTTCTCTTTCAAAGCATAATAAAAAGAATGCAATGAGATATAAGTAACAATCACTTTTTTTTCTTTCAGCAACTTCCAAGAGAAAAGCTGCAAACACAGCCTACCCACTCCATGGCAGTTCCATTGTTTCCATGTGTACAATTTTTTTTCTTATTTATTATCTGGAGCAATAACTAGAGACTTGACCTTATTTGTATACCTGTGCTTTTTGTAGAAATGTTAACATATGAACTCATGAATCTCTTTTTCATTTGTTGAAAAAAAAAACCAACATAACAAAAATGAAAAGGTTCAAATACATGTGTAAATGGAAATGATATTTAGTGAAAATGACAATATTTCAACAACATAATTCAAATAAAAGTAACTGTCTCCATTAATGTGGTGAATATGATCCTGTCAAAATGAGACACCTAGATGTAAATAAACCTAATTATATTACAATAAATACAATATGAAAAAATTGGTCATAAATGTTGTTTTTTTAACTTAAAATTTGCTTCATGATAACTGATTGAAAATATAAATCACGCTGACACTTCTCAATTTTTACTCTATACAATATGGGCACAACTACACAGGTTTTCAGGCATCTGTAATTTGTTCATGATTACTAGGCATGGCATAGCCTATCTTGCACGATTTCAAAGCCAATGACATAAATAAATAAATAAATAAATAAATAAATAAATAAATAAATAAATAAATAAATAATTGGCATGGACAGTGGCAAAGAAAATAATTTTCCCTTAAAAGGTGTTTTCAAATTTCTTTTAAATGCATTGTGACATATGCAATATTTGGGAGATAAACTGTACTATATATACAATCTGGGATGCAACAGTATGGCTGTACCATTTTAGAGTTTCTTATAATGCCTAATGAGGCAAAATGAATGTAGAATGTAGATTATTGTTTAGTTTTTTGACTGCATTTGTTCTTCAACATCTGTTCTTCTAGTCCAACTTTACAGATAACGAGGCAAATCATCTTCTATAACCACAATTAAAAGTTTTTTTAAATCAACAAATAAGAAAAATTAAAGAGAAAAAATAATTTCTTCAAGAGGGTTAAAAAAATGACAATCAATGTGATATGTTCATTATCAACCAATATGCCAACCATGCAAATAGAGAGACTTAAACTATAATATACCTATAATAACCAACAAATGTGGGTAAGAGCAATGCATTTCATATGATAACACGTGTCATTTCTTTATTTTGTAATGGAATTGTCCTTTACAAGTTATAAATGACTTTTGTAAATCTGTTCTGTTTAAATTGAATTAACATTCTCTCAGTAATTATCAATTTACATACAAAAGATCTAAAAAGGACAACAACATGTAACATAAAAATATGTTCTGTGGAACATAATAAAATGTCTAAGAGAACATTGTTCATAAGTAAAATCTACATAAAAGCACATAATTATTAATGACAGTATGCACACCTGTTTCACAATTCCAAATATGATAACAATCAATCATTTTCTCACTCTCCCTCCTCTCCCTCGCACACATGCACACACACACACACAGATGCATGAGAATTATGAAAATGATGGTCAAGACAAATGAATACAAATGCTAAAAATCTGGAACTTGTCATACAGAATTAGTGTATTGACTGTCAACTAGGATAAAAGTTATGTTAATTACTTCTGAGTTTTAACCAAGTTCAAATAATTTAAGGCCTATTCAGAATATACTCCAAATCCGGCACTTTAAGAACACTGTTTTAGTTAATAGGCATTTTGAAGTTCCACATTTTTAGAGACTCTTTGGGAGGCAATTTTGGGGTCAACTAATAAAACATGAACTACTGAGGAAATCACTTACCTATGTGTGTAAATGTAAGGTATTTCATCAGACCAGAAAATGTCAAACACGATAGGTGGAGTCAGGTACCAAGGCAACAACATGAAAAAGAAAAAGACAGAAAATACTTCATAAATGGAAAGTCAAAATATTATTTAATAATAGATATATTTTTACATTAGTAGTATTTTGGCAAGATAACCATGTAGAAAAAAATGCAAACAAGGTCAGAGGGCAGATTTGAAAGAGAACAAGAAAGTTCTAAAATCAATCACATTTCCTTCCAGATGCAGTAAAAACATACAAATTAAATCTCAACCCGGTTACTTCATCATTTAATTGGCAAAGTGACAACACATGTCATGTAAAAATTACTGATTAACAAGTAACATAATGTGGTGTACATCCTTTGTTTTAGCATAATATTACAACAACTGTTGCATGCAGAGGGCAACTTGTTGACATGTTCACACGCAATAATAACATAGACTGAAAGTTGATTAAAATGCATCATTTGATCTGACCAGGTCAAAATATATAAAAATTAAACAAAAATGGTTGTTGTGTTAGATTTTCATTGCAAATTATGGCCCAATCCCTATGTAATCTCCTAGTTATGGGTAAACCCTGGGAGCAGTTTGAGGGACCAAAGAACTATTTTAATTAAAATCTGGGTGTATTGCAATCAAGAACATCCTGAACCTTGACCTTAAAAAATAACTGCTGTTAAAACCTATAAAATCACAACTTGAGTTAATCATATGTGTATATGCAACAGACTTAGAGAGAGAGGAAACCCAGATGTGCATATTGACATTTTGCAGCATGGACAAGCCTGCGGGTTCTGCCCATTGCTAGACCTGGTCTTCCTAAAACTGCGATTAGCCACAGATGGTGTCACTACACTACCAGGAAGACATACCAGTCCATTGACTCGGAGACCTATTGTAGGAGCAGGGAAATGTGCCAACAACCATAGGAGTTTTATTATATACTCCTATTTCATTATTCTTGTTTTCAAATTAGAGTATGAACTTTTTAATTCTGGCTCAATGTATACTGCTGTATGGGACATTCTCTACCTTGGGCAAAACTGTCGGTAAAAAGGGTAGGAAAATTGTGATATATTTATTATAGATTTTTTTAAATAATTGAAATAATCTCAATTTTCTAACTTTAAAAAAGTTGCTTTTTTGTTTATTGTAAAGGCATATGTTTAATGTATGAAAAGGTTTGCAAGAAAGTAATGTGCAGCAAACATATAATATCTGGACTCTGTTATCCTTAGAATTTAACATGAGACACAACTTTACATGTGTATTGTTATTACAATAGAAAAGACTAGAATTTACTGAGAAATGACCAACTCTTTTATCATCATCATTTCAGATACAAAATGGATAAGTCAGTGTTTCAATGTGAAGACAGGTCAGCCCCTGATCACAATGACATGTGAGCAGCCTCCAGGGACAGCCATGATTCTGATGAAGAATGCCTTTCATGGCAAGGCGACCAACAGGCACTGGGCGTCTTTTGACAGCTCCAAGTGTTACAAAGCCGATGGGGTGGACAATAAGTGCATCTACTGCCCCGAGGACTGCATTGACGACTCCCTGACCATGGCCTATGACTGGACCAAATGTACCGGGACGTCCAACTGCACACACTATGTCATGCAAACTAACATGCCAAAATGTCCCAAGCAATACAGCGATTATCTCTACTTGGAGTATGTGTGCATTCCAAGTAAGAAGTCACTTTTTTATTATCTGTAAATTATTTTCTAGATAATCAGATATTGCTAAAAATGTCTAAAACATTGTTTGTTTACAATTTAGAAAAATTAAGGTATGAAATTTATGATACCATGTACCTGCACTTGAACAAAAGATTTTAATGGAAGATTAAAGATACAGGAAAAAAAAACATTATATTCATATAAATAAATGTAATCACATATTTAATACCACAAATGTTTTCAATCTTTTAGGAAGATTGACTCAAAAAAGGTCTAGCTGCCACTAGTCTACATAAAAAAATTTACATTTTACCCTTCACTCCAAGAATCATTTAAATGACAACCTAACATTATACTATAAGCAATTATTCTTCAGAGGCCGATGTGTTTGATGTGTGCTCCCAGCCAGAGAGATGGGTCAGGGATGGGTACATCAGTTCTCCAAACTACCCCAACCACTACCAGTCATCCCAGGCATGCAAGTGCTCCCTGGAGGCTTCTTGGGGAGAGAGTGGGGTGGAGTTCCAAATATATGAACTTTTGCTGGAGGAGAACAAGGATAAGGAGTGCCAGGACTGGCTGCTCATCAAGAATTCAAAGACGAAGATGAGACACTGTGGTCAGATTTTCAACACAACAATGACGGTTCCTGGTAGAGTGGTGGACGTGTACTTCTACACTGACTCCAATGATGTCAGCACACAAATGTTCCAGTATTTTACTAGGACTCTCAAAGGATTTTGGCTCTACTTTAAGGGTAAGAAAAAATTAATCATAATTTTCCATTTTAATTTCTTCACTGTATGCATACTGGTTTTGATTACCTATGTATTGCAGATATTTCAAATACATTTCATGTGCCTTTTGTAAGGAAAAGTATAGATTTTTTGACATTTTAAAATTAACTTCCATCAATATGCTTGTATTAACCATTGGAGGCAGGGTTATTAGTCAACATAATTACATGCAAAAGAACCATTTTTTCATTTAAGTTTTCATACAAACTATGAAACGTATTCCATATATCAAAGACAGAAAAAAAAAAATCCCATTGACATTTTCATTTCAGTTGTATCGTCTAACATGAAAATATCATGTGGTAGACTTCCTCCAGATGACCCTGGCCTTATGGAAGTGACCGTCCCTCCAACCACCAGCAGATCCACCCAACCCACCACACATGCTACTAACAATTCCAGAGGGCACAAAACTACATGCCTAGATGGAGGAAGAAGTTGTAGAAATAAGGGCAAATCCAATGACTCAAAATGTAAGATGTCATTCAACTGCAGGCAAAACAGTTTTCAATGAAAATCTATACATTCAACATAGTTCAGCATGTATTCATAAAACCATGCTGCAATAAGCTTTTCAAATTATATTTATATCATTTACAATTTAAGTTCCATTAACAGATGGAACATTCCATCTCACTTTTCATATGTGCTACAGATACATTCAAAAATCTAAACTGAATTGATATACTTTGTATAAATATTACATTTTTATTTTTTATAAATTTCAGCAACTGCCAAAAGAAACTCTGTAAACTCAGCTGATTTCAAAAGCCTGAACCTGGCTTTCACCTCTGCAGTGTCAACTGTACTGCTGCTGCTTCTGACCCTGTTGTGAAGAACTTAAAAGTTTTAGACATTCATAATGCTTCTTGAGATGACTTAAATAGAACCCGAGCCACTTCGAAAAAATCCTGTCTCAAAATATCAAGTTATAGACATGCTTCCGAACAGCATCAGTGATTATGTGTACTTGTCCTCCATTTTCTTAAAGTTATAGCTCTTGAGTTAAATTCGTATTTGCAAATGCATATCTAAATGAAATGTACCAGATCATATAATAAAAGTTGATTTTTAACATGTTGTTTGTTATTTTATGTTGTTATTGAGGGTGACAAAAAACACCATTTTGATGTGAATTATCATTCCATTATTACTTGCTAGCATTTGATGAATTTGCCTAAGTTGATATTGAAAAAAATTGGGGTTATATCAGCACTGTGACGTGTCACCATATTAAAATATTGATAAAGCAGTAAATAATCTTTAAAGAGATTTTAATGTGATTTAACAGGAAGGTCAAAATATCATGCCTCATTTGTAGAAATGATTTATTTTTATCATCATTGTATGAAAGACAATAAAAAACATTTCACCGCAAAATCAAATAAAAATCCATAAATTATATTGAAATAAATATATTACTGTTAATTTTAAAACAAACTATGTTTTTAAACATATTTTTCAATTTAACGTCAGTCTTGTTGATATTCACAATAACAGTTTTATAATTTCATTATTTTGGTATTTTTAATGTTCATGAACCCTGACATCAAAACCTCTCAATTGTCTAATATTGTTTTTACATGACATTTTTAGTAAATCCTTATCTGATTATTTTTGAATGAGTTATTTTTGACATTTCAATGCATTGTCGATTAAGCCGCCAAATAATTATATTCTTATATCCATATTAAGCCTCTTGGTTAGGTGGTAAAGGTATCATTGATAGCGTGTTGTCTCACAAGTTGAATGTTAACAATCAACGTATAATATTTCCAAATGACGATTTCTATTTTTTTTCACCTCCTGCAGAGACCAGTATGAGAATACCTGGCTTGGCTTTCTTAATAAAAAACATTTAGGTTAAAAAAGTCTACAGAAATGAATATTTTCCAAATCTTTGCACCTTGTTTATAATTAAAAGCATGTTTCAGATTAACTTAGGATAATTGTAATACATATTTTTTAATTGGCATATGCTTTGATACAAAGGTGGTCATATTCCTGGCTCACTGGCATTTTCTCTCATTTGTTGCCAACTGATACATGAAAATTAACACCAATCACTCACAACATTCCAGGACAGTGCTTTGGATGATGTTTATATTGACCACCAAAGGAATGTTATAAAGATATTTTTTCTATACCAGAGGCAATATCACCCAGTGGAATATAATGGAATTTCCTTACACTTCGCTAAATATTTTTTGAGAAATTGAAATTAAATGCAGGATGCATATATCTATCCACCCAATACAACAAAACAAGCCATAAATGACACTGTGCACACAGGAAGCAAAACTACGTGATGCTCACAGTACATGTATTTGCCCAGCTGTTATATGACATTGTGAATAATTAGTATTACAAAATGCTTCTCTTTTTTCTTGACCTTGACCACACCCAAGATTTAGCTGCTAACAGTGGACCACTGGAACACATATTTATTTGATTTGGGACCTAATCTTCCCCAAGAAGAAGAAAATGTTGTTTATTTGTGTATGGATGCTTTTTCTCAATGTACTACTTGTTGATGGAAAAGATGGTAAGCAGTTTTGTGTCACATCTGTTATTCTTAACTGCTTTTCTCAAATATTTTTGACAGAGACTCATTATGTACTTGCTCTACGAACAAAAAAATCTTACGTTGATATGATAATCACCAATGAAACAATTATTTGTTACTAAGAGGAAAATATGATGGGTATTTGTCTAGTAGGTTATTCATCTCGATTTTCTGGTTTTAGAACTGGAAAAGGTGACTGGACAATGCTATGGGACAGGAAACTCATTTGTTTCCTTATATTGTGGCTATGGGCTAATGATAAACATCAAGCGTGCTTTTCATGGTGCACATAAAGGCAGCATTGGGCTTTGTACGGCCATGTTAGATGACTGCACTGAAGAAAATGCAGAGGCATATGACTGGTCCCTGTGTATGGGACTACAGTACTGTGTTCAACCAGTGAAGAAAAGTTATCTTGAAAGCTGTAAAAAAGACAGTCAGTACCTGCAGGTGGAATATGAATGTGTTTCAGGTGCATGAATACAAACCCCTTTTTAGCTTTATGATCATTGTTTATTTCATTCATATTTCTTTCTTTTTTCTTTGCCTTATTTTTTTGAAATTTTCAAATTTCATCACTTTTTCCTAAGTTTTTATTTTTTCATTATTCAAGATACATATGTTAATCTCAATACACATATTGATCAGCTTAATACACAAAAATTATAGATAATAATGGTTTATTTCACATGGTTTATTTTCATGTTTAACTTCATAGGCATTTCATTAATTGCTGTAACATCATTAAATTGAAAGTTCTGAGTAAACTACTTTTATGCAGGTTTTGATAATGGAATTATATATCATATTCAATTATCAGTGGGAGATGTTCTAGATATCTGTAACACTAAGAAACAAATCCGTTACGAGGGTTACATCAGTAGTCCTAGCTACCCATCTGCCTACAAGGCTCGTGTTGACTGCAAGTGCCATCTAGTGGCCGTTGGAGGGATGCTGTATTTGACATTTGCTGACCTGGCCCTGGAAGACACCTCCAAGGAGTGTAAAGACTGGGTGCTAGTCCAGAACCAAACGAAAGAAGAAGTGTTCTGCAGCCAACAGCTACCAAGTGCTGCAAAAGTGGAAGTGCAGCACTTTACCGATGTTTATTTCAGTAGCAATGCCAATGATGTCAAGAGGATTAAAGTCACCAATGACAAAACTAAAGAACTGAAAGGATTCTGGATGCATATGAAAGGTGAAGTATTGAGACGGAATAATTTTGGAGACCAAGTATTTCATTTAAAATCAAATTTGAACTAAAAAAACTTAAGCAATCCAGTATCATTAAGAGGATGGGGAGTCATTAAGAAATTAACATTTCATTTATTTAATGAAGAGTAAGGGTAAAAAAATACATTCAACTCCCTTTACTTGGCATGTGCCGCCATGTCATATACAAAATTGCTAGGAAAAGAAGATGAAACCTGCTTTACTGCAAAACTGTATGGGACCATTACACAATAAAGGGAACACCTACATTGGCCTTGGCTCATTGGTGATCTTGTGAATTCCAGGCAGCCAAGCTGACACCAAGATCACTGTGACATGCAGTCCCACTTCTCACATTGAACCCAAGTCAGTGAAAAAGAAAATATATGTGAAAACTGAAGGTAAAGACCACCTAAGCATTATGATCATTAATGCTGCAAGAATTAAAATATAACTTTTATATTATATGATGTCTTAACCAGCTGATAAGGATAATCATAAAAGAACAAAACTTTCTTATTTAACTGATACCATTATCAACTGGCCATAAGAAATGGTTATCTAAAGATTATGGGCAATTTCAGATAGAGAATTTAAAGTGCCAAGTCAAATGAGAACAACCAAAAAAGAAAATTTGCAGGAGAACTTCAAAGATAAAAAGGGAAAAACTGCTCAAATGAACAACACCGAACCAAATATACTCAAATCAGAACCAAAGAAAAAGAAAGGATCAAAGATTCGAGCTACAAATAAGACACTGTCAGGTAAGAAGCAAGAATGTTAAGTCCTAAATATTTTCTTTAGGATAATACAATAAACATTATTCTTCAGAACCATGAACCATTTACTCAAGACTTTTTTTTATCATTTTCAAAATGAGAACACTCTTTAACTGTCAAACTGTAGCATGTACAGCGTACTTTATTATTCCAGGTACCACAACTGTGACAGCTTTGCTTTCTAATCATGGCATCACATTCAAGGTCCAGCTTACAAACTATTTGATAATGATTGCTGTTTTCGTCAAGTTCACTTTTTCTTGCTTGTGAAAAAGTAAACAATTTAATATACCACCTGAAAATGTCTATGAAACTTTGATCATGTCTGACATTTGTGAAGCCAGTATTTGTCATTGTAGAATATACAGCAGAAACACAATAGATTAAAAAAATTTACTGGCATCCTCAACAACTTGCCATTGCTTTGTGTACCATGTGTACCATCACTGTAGTGTTTTCTAAAGTAAAAAAAAAAAAACTTGTGTTTTTAGAAACACTGTTCTTTTCACTTGGCTTATTGCTGAGTGAAAGGTATCAAGCATTCTTTGCTAAACAAATTTTTCTTTGTTAAACAAAGTGATGGTCATTAATTCGATAATTCAAAATTTGTTGCCTGTCTTCAATGCATAAGCATAGGTCATCTAAAATTGAAAAAAGGAATAAATGGCAACAAAATATTGTTAACGTCTGTTTAAGTTAAGCCTCTGATTATGTTGGATTTGCTCTGAATCCAGAAACAAAAGGATGCCAATTACAGGAAATAAAATTTCACTACCTTAAAAAGCAATTATTATATTTAGAATATCAATGCTCAGTAACATCCTATTGAATACATTTAAAGCACTTTTATTCCAAACTTGGGAAATATGAAACTTATAATATAATCGGGTTCTTGAATCTGCTTTTTACTGTTCCAGTGTTCATCAGGTTTTACTGATCATCACATTTGCATATATATAATTATAAGACAATGTCTGTGACAGTAGTATTCCTTACAAGTTGCCATAAAAAATGTATGGCTTTTATTTTCCATTTATCAAAAAATGCGACAGCTATTCCATTTACTCTCTGTTTCAAATGCTAGCAAAATAACAAGGCATGTCAGAAAATAATGGTCAGCCAGAAAGTCATTTGTAAAGATATGTCATAAATGAACATTTTCATCTGAATTTTTGGATAACGGCTTTCAAATCATTTCTTCCTTCAACTATATTTTTAACACCAGCAACAGGCACATCCACAGCTGATGTGATAATTTTCTAAAGTAATTTGCATGTAATGTTCGAGGAAGAGACATCTTTGGAATCAATAGCAGCCGTTCTTTTGCAAGACCACACCCTGCGGCAGCATGTATTATGGCACCATATGCTTTCTCTATAATTCCTCAGATTTTTTGTTGGTGTCACGCACTTATGAAATCGCTGCACCTGAACGGTACATTGGGTAATCAAAAAAGCTGAAAAAATTGCACACATTTGTGCATTTGGTTTTTGGGGAAGACAATGATGACCACAACGGATTACAGTGTTACAATCATTCTCTGTTTCCTGCTTTGCTTTGGGAAAGTCCACTGTTATGATGGTAGACTGGAAGAACGGGATGTGCAGATGGCAGAGAAGTCTAATGAAAGTGAGTAAAGTGTGTTTAGTTGTTTAACACACAAAGATCACTGCCAACATACGTTTGATCTAGAATCTCTATCCAACATCACACTTGAAAAATTTTAATCAACTTTCTAGTGTGCCTAGCAATAGACATGTAGTATAACAATTAAAGCTATAATGTTGTCTTCTTAATCTGGGTTGGTATACCATCTCATAAGTATGCAAGGAGTGTATGGCATAGTACATTGTAGCGGTGATCATTTTCCTGAGCAGCTGTTGAAATACCAAAATTCCATTATACTTAGTATGTTTCAGTCTTATTTTTGCACATATCACCGGCAAACATGTCTGTTTTATATGGCATATATTAAACCTTTCTTTCCTCATGTTATTTAAAAACATTTCTAAATTAGAAACAAATACTGATGTATAATATTTAAAAAGTAATCTTTCATGAGTCGTCTTCATTCAAATACAAAATGAAGTTTACCAAAGAGCAATCCTATTATCTTTGGAGACTTGGCCTATACCAATGCACATGGTTACAGGCCAGCATTCTACTCATCATACAAAAATCATCTAATGCTAAGATTTACTATTTCTTAGATCATATTTTGAAGACTGTCAGTCAGTGTTTCCACGTCAGGGGCAATCCATTTGTGACACTGTATTGTGGGTCTAATCACATGATCAAAATCAACAGAGCATTCCATGGCATGCACCACCAGAACATCAGCCGTTGTAACTTCTTACCAGGGGACTGCATGGATGGAGATTTGTCACCTTACTATGATTGGTCAAACTGTCTCGGTGCCGAACATTGCGTTAAATCTGTAAAGCAGTCGTGGCTGAGAGAATGTGGGAACTACAGCAAATACCTGCAGATTGACTATCAGTGTGTAAAGAGTATGTAGTAAATCGTTATAAATTTTGCTGGTATAACAAATTGTAATGATACAACAAATTGTCATTTGTAATCTTCTGGTTGTAATGAGCAACCCTCTTTTTTCCATTTTTTCTAACATACAACACAACTTAAAAAGCATTTCAATATAACATAATACAGTATATATATGAAAAAATATGTGATCACTTGTTTTTATAACTATCATGAACTTTATATCTTAAAGCCTGCTTAATTTACCATTACATTCCAGATGAAGAAGTATTTGACATCTGTGAGAAAAGCAATACTTATGTGACAGAGGGTTACATAAAAAGTCCCAACTATCCTTCATTCTACCCAATACACAGGGACTGTGAATGTAACATCTCAGTGTCTGGAAAGAGCCGCATGCTCGTCTCTTTTTATGACCTCCTCCTGGAGATGAATGGAAAGAAATGTGCTGATTGGTTGATGATCTACGACGATGACTACAAAGATTTGAACTGTGGAGAAATCATGACAGGAATGAAGAATGTGTCTTGGCAAGGACCTCAGATACGGTTACATTTTCACACAGATGTTAACAACACTCGGAGACAGTCATTTTCTTATAATACGCAAAGAAACCTCAAAGGCTTTTGGGTATATTTCAATGGTAATTATTATATATATTGTTTTCCTGAACATGGTATGCCCAGTGGTCAAAAAAGTATTTCATTATCTACCCTGTTTCTATAACAACAAAGGATGTACGGTGCATCTAAATTTTCAGCCAAAAATTGTAGTGAAACTTGTATCTGCCTGATAAAAATGTCTTACACTGTATATTTCAAACCAAAGAGGCAACAACTGGACCTAATACATGTCAAATGGTAAGTATAACAATATCAGAGTAAATAATATACTACAAAGTTCAATTAAAAACCAATGATGAGAAAATAACTGCTTACACACATGTGACTATACTAACTGGTGTAGCAGATGTATTGCCATGTCCATAGTGTGGCAAATTTCATGTTAGAAGAAGCCACAGCTCTAGGTGGTGAATTTTATGCTACATTCTCCCCTGTGACTGAGCAATAAGATCCATAACACAAATCTCTTCTTTTTTTATTTCTACAGATATTCTTATATTTATTTCTTTGATAAATGTGAGAAAATATTACCTTCAAACAGTGATATAAGTCTACTGAAAAGATTTGAATAAACTAAGATTGTATTTTTTAATCATCAATGAAAAAAATGGATACAATCAAACAACCCTAGCACTTATGCAAGAGAAACTTGATTTTAATTAATTGTTTATATCGTTATAAAACAGTTAATAATTTATTTGATTTTCTGTTACTATTGACATTATTCTTCTTACAGCTGAGCCAAAAGATGAGGTTTTAGTAAAATGTGGTCCTACTAAGCCTAAGAAACTTCAAAGTTATACACCTAATCCAATTCCAAAGGGAGGTAAGATAAAAGATGGCAGTGCATCTTTTATTAATTATTTTAATGCCAACATATAGTTGATAAAAATGAGATTTTTTTTGTCATCATAGGAGTAACATATATTATAAAATTCTGGAGGCAGTGCTCTGTTCTCCATCATGATAAAATACAAAGCAGTAAAATACTTCCATCATACCAATAACTCATTTCTAATGAGTAAGATTTTTTTTTTTTTTTTGATAATGCTTATGTGTTGTAATATGTGGAACTGTATCTACCTTGCATCAAGACAATTAAGCTCACTTTTAATGAATGTTTCCTTTTTTCTTCTTGTTTAGGTGTTGTAATAGCTGGAACTGCGTCTACCTTGCCACAAGGTTGGAGTTTTACCCTACTGCTGATGATGACAGTGTTATATTGACATATTAATAAGCAGCATTCTTGGCACTGGGACACAAATGCACCCATGAAGTTGTTCCCCATCAATAATGATACAATATACAAAAATAAACAAAGACTTTTTTTCTGCGGGTAAATTGAAAGATGGCCTCAGGGGATCAAAATGCATACATTACTCATTCTGCAGCTGGCAAAAATCTCCTCAGACAATTGATATCAGTAGATATTCATTAGTCTGAATTAGTGAAGAGGAGAAATATAATCTTGCATCATGGATATATATAAGAACAAAAGTAAGAATATTGGCATATTCTTGAATTGATACTGGAAAAGAAAAGGCACTTCTATCATGACTGGTGGAAGTGCAATTTCAATTTAAGAACAGAGACAAAATGTGAAAATACAAAAGAAATGAAGTTTGATGATGAAGGAGATGTTCTCAAACACCATAATCCACATTTTATTTGTATACAATAAAAATGACTTAGCACTTGAGATTCAAAACATTGCTGAATAATAAAAATGTAAATGAGATAAATCAATATATTATCTGATAAAGTGAGTTTTTTTTCGTGAGGGGGGGAGGGGACATACGTGTGTGTGTGTGTGTTTAGCTGACAGACCATATCACATTTGAAATTTGTGGCTTCCCTATTTAATACAGGGCCAAAATTATTGGGTCTTTTCAGCAAAAAAAAAAAAAAAAAAAGGGGATTTGAATGTAATATAATTTGGCGTTTAAAATTGGGTGTTAAAATTTCCAAGAAAATTTTCATCTTTTTAAACATTTGGTTTGGCTGTTATGTGGATAAAGATACAAAAGTACTTGTGATACTAAAACACATGTGGTAACTTCTGAAAAAAAAATTATTTAATGATTTGAAACTACCTTGTATTTTGTCCACAGAGAGCCTCATAACAAAGTGTAACTAAACTGAAATATGATTTGGCAGTTACTTTATATCTGCAATTTCTTCTGCTCAATTTTCCTCTGACTTAAATGCCCATTTCAAGTTGTGTCCATGCTAGACATATTCAACCAAATATCAATATATATCTTACATATGGACACTTTCTATACTCATAATCATGTCCCAACTTTTCCAAAAATTGTGGCTAAGATCCCATACATAACCCAATTCATTGTGTTGGAGAAGAACAATGTGAGATGTCACCACAAATGGACGAATTGCAATAGAGAAGAGTTGGTTGAGATTTTATGGTCAAGACATATGTGGAAACAGACAAAAAAGTATTAAATGACAAATCACTGCTGAAGAATGATGTATTCAAATCAAATAGACCGGCAATGCCAGCAAAATCAAAAAAAAAAAAAAATATATATATATATATATATATATATATATATATATATATATATATATATATATATATATATTTTTTTTTTTTTTTTTTTTTTTTTTTGCACCTATGGGACAAACAGTACCTAAATATACGCAAAAAAAGGAAATCAATAAAAATTTGTTGAAAATCCAACTTTTTTTTGTCATACTGCCAAACTATTTTTGTTTCACTTGAATTTTATGAGAGTTTGGGTATATATCACCAATTAAAGGGATAATAACTCTTCGTTTTGGCCAAAAAATGAATTTTCCTGGAGTTAACAACAAGTTTCCCATACTTACCATTTTTACATTCAAAGTTAGTCCCTGTTTTTTTTCTAAAAAGTTTGTTTTTTTGTTAAAATCTCTTAAGAGATTATAACTGAGTACAGCCATCAATGGAGGTCATGTGATCTAAAGACAAGCTCAGATATCAGAATAATAGCTATAACTGCCGTTTTTGTGGTACAACAGAATATATTATATTTCTATGAGTTGTTCACAATGTTTTTATTGTGAAATATAGATATCATACGAAGAGTTATTATCCCTTTAAAAGACTAAAAATTGAAAAAAAAACTTCTAGTCAATGACTTTGGTGACTTAGCCAAAGAAATCAGGATTTAACCAGAAAGGTGCATGCTGACAATCATCTAAAGGCAATAAATGGCCAGAAATCAAGCACTGGTATCCATAATGTGACTGACCACCATAATATAAGGCTCTCTATGCTGAGCCAGCAATATAAAACCAAGGCTATTTCAAAACCATACCAGCTCTACAATGTGAGGTTACTATTGAAGGAGAAAATGATGTCTTCTATAAATCATTTCTAGGCATTTAAGGCATGTACTGGTTGCCAAACTTATAAAAATGTATTTAAATTGAAGCAAAGATTTTCATTTAAGCTTAACAAACATCAAAGCATAGGAACATTAACATTATACTTAAACTGACCTCTAATATTAACCCAAAGACACCAAATTGGTCCATTTACAATGGTGTCATGATAACAACTTAAGTGTGCTAAAAATACGATGCTTTATCAAAAGGTCAAGTGAAACTCGATCATTTATAGGTAAATTTCCTGGTCAGTTACTTTGTCTGGAATACTATAAATTGGCAAAAATTCCTTACAGAGATATTTGCTTTAAAAATCATATAAGAATTGTATAAACACATTTAACATCAAAAGACTAGAAAATCACCCAGAAGGCAGACCTCCACCAAAACATATAATGAACTAATAATCAACCATTAATTAACTAATGGATCATCACCTAAATCTAATCACTTTTAAGTTAGGGCTGGCATTTCAGACCTATCCAGCAAATTGCATCAAAACTGATCCATAACTTTATGAATTAGTAGGTGACAAAAGGACAGACAAACAAAAGGGAGGTGAAAACATGACCTCCTTGGAGGTTATGAAATAAAATAAAGCAACAAAAATAATTATAATAATAATAATAATAATAAAGCAAAATTTTCTGTAAGTTGCTGAAATAGAAAAAAAATGAGTATTGGGCCATTCAGAACAGATGATCTGAGTACTAACTTATCTGCTGACAAAACATGGCTGACCCTACTTCAAAAGCGCTGCCGCTAATTCCATGATGGTATCCCTGCCTCCACACGCGCCATTGCTGCAGGGGCCTAGCAATTAAACCTCCGAGCCAAGA